TTGTAGTGCTCAGAAGATCTACATATCAGATACTGGTGCTCCCAGTCAGGGTATCTGAAAGTGAGGAGTGTTCAAAACGGGTATTTAGTTTCTCAGGATCAGATAGGAACTAAGGAGTAAAACCAGTTCTTTCAGGAAATGGTCTCCCTCCTTAAAGCATCGGATCTTAGTCTTCAGCTTCCACCTTCTATTACAATGGGACCAGCATTTTGCCCAGACAGTAGCCTTATTCACCAGCTGCCTCTTAAGTGCTGAATGAGGCACCCTGTATGACAAAGTATCATTATGCATTATCTTGTAGATACAGCAGAGGGCAGGATTTAGATAGCATCAATATCTTTAGAACTCACTGTGTGAAACGTTTGTCGCGCCAATGAACAGGCCCAAACTGATCCTTCAGCGAAGCAGTTTATTTACACTCTTGCCAGACTGGGTGACCTAGCCAAGTGGGCACACCTGATAGTAAGGTGAGCAACTGTTTATGTTCCCTATTCCCGACGCAAAGTTCCCTCCCTTGTTTCCCCACTGGCTGGGTAGTCCAGGGTTTACAGCCCATCCGACGCTTCTAATTATCCTATAAGTTTCCCGCCCCTGTTTACACATTCCATTCTGGCAGTTTACTTTTTACCTTTTAAGGTATAATTCTGACCTTTCTTGCCCCCTTCGCTGTCTTCCCAATCACCAAAATGATCGATACCTACTGGTGTCATCCTGCCCCAAGGAGTAAGATAGAAGTGGCTTTGTTCAGTCTTACCTTGAGCCATAAATCCTGCTCCATGTTCAGATCCCCCAGATGGAGCCCAGTTAAGTCCCTCAGTTTCTTGGACCATAAACCACCCCAGGTGTCACTGGAATCTGCAGATATCTCACGTCTCTCTTAAACGAACTATTATATTCCTAACACTAGGGTATATAAAAAACCAAAACAAAACCCAACACTATGCTTCTAACGCTAAGATGTGAAAACAACGCTACATTTCATTTCTAACATTACATTAATTGAATTCAGCAACTAAATGACCCTTTTGATATATTTATTGCAATCCTGTTTTCGAAAGGCATAGAATCATGCCTTTACTAACGTAGTGTATGAATAACAGTGTCACTGAAATAAGTTACAACTAGTATAAGGAATGGTGTTTTTTTTAAAATACTGTTTAAAATGTGTGCTTAAAATTGCTTCCTTTAGCTATGTCTCCTAGCCAGAAAAAAATTCTACCATTCTTTATAGTAACTGTCATTCTTACTGAGTCAAGAATGTACTGGGGGGGAAATATGTAAATTTAGGGCAGTCAATTTTAGTTTATATCATCAACGAAACTGATCTAAAGTGTAAAAGTCCTTTGACATATTAATGTACTATAGAATAGTCACCTTCTTTCATACTTTCATAGATCTGTATCATATTTGCATTCAGTTGTGGCTTTCCCAGATACAGAATCACAATTTACTTTGTCTTGATACAGAAGCTGTCTCTTGTCTTTGTCAGCTCTCTTTTTATTTCTTCTGTACAGGTTTTCGAGTTGCAGGAAGAAGAATAACAGGAAGTATTTAAAGAAGGTAGATATTGTACCAGGAAAGAAAGCTGATAACATGATTTTTTCCAATAGAAGAGGTGAATTAGCATGAATGCAGGAACTAAGGGCTTTTAAACTCGAAATTCAATAGCAGTATAAGATGAGTTTTAGAGATAAAACTTTCTGTGCAGACTGGAGCTTTAGTATGGCCACATTATGAGTGAATTTAGGCAAATTCAATAGTCCTGGGAGCGAGATAGATGTACTGAGCATCTGGTTCAGAGCATGTGGTTCAGAGCAGCCATTGAAACACAGCTGTACTAAACAGCTTAACAAGAAGTATTAGTAGTGTTAAAAACAGTGCTGTCAATCTGGAAGCATTACTTCCATCAGATTTGATTTCTAAGTGAATATAAAGCTATGAAGCAATGTACTGCAAAGACTAGTGAAAAAATACAGCACAAATCATAAATCTACAATCTTGTAACAGAACCTTCAAGATCATTATTGTACCTCCAAAGTAAATAGTGAAAGAGAGTTTAGACTGTTCCAGAGACCAGGTACACACAGCATGTAACAACAGATCTACAGATTGTCTAGCCAGAGAAATACAACCAAATTTTACTCCGTTGCTATTTGAGCACTAGATGTTTGTGAGAACTACCAGCTTACATCTGTGTTTGACCAGTCAGGAATTATTATGTCTAAAAATAATTAATGTTAGCATTTTCTGATCTCTGATAGATGAGAGTCATGTTTGCAGGTCCAAAAAAAGGGAGCAATCTTTGAACACAGCCAGAAATCCATTCACTCTGGTTCAGCACATAATGCTGATAAACCTTGATAAGTGCTGCAAAAAGCACTCTTCTGACCATCTGACAATCTCTTTCTGGGACAGGCTGTTTACAAGTCTTGATCTAAACATGCATAAGGGTAAGAATAAGTATGTAAACAGATCAATGTGACTAATATGTTAGTAGGAAAATGCTTAATCACTGTTGTGTCTGATCCAATAGATGCTGAATGCTGCTGGTAATTATAATTTATGTATAGTGTTAGCAGATATGTAGTGTGAAAGATCGTATTCCACTGAAACTCTTTATTCCCAGTTTTATATAATGGAGACAACATTTATTTAATGAAAAAAATCAGTCTCAGTGGATGTGGCACATGCTCATCCAGCATCTGACAGGAGATGATGGAGAGGATTCTAGGAAAGAGGCCTTTCAGGAGCAGGCTGCAGCTGCTGGGACAGCTAATCCTTCCTCAGTTGCACTGGGAAAAGAGTGTGAGCAGCAGTGGCATGTATTATTATTATTATTATTATTATTATTATTATTAGTTATTTTCTGGTAGCAGCATGTTCCTCCAGTGTGTTTCATGTTAACAGGGCATGCACAGACTGACAGTTCTGCGTGGGAATGGTACTATGTACAATCTCATGGCAGATGTACAGTTCTCCCATGCAACCAGGTTACCATTATCTCCATCTTTGCTAAGAGCTAAGAACTAACTGAGTTACTTAGTGTGTGTTGTCTCACACTTTAAATAAATTAAAGTCACATATGCTGTCATACTGGCTCACAGAATTCATTACTAGACTATGGGTGTTTGCAAAAGTGTGAATTCTAGATGAATGTCTTTGAAAAGAGCATCTATCCTCGGAGAACCAGAAAGTGGGGACTTCAGGAAGTGTTTGGTCTACCAACAGAGGAGACCTTGCTCTCAGGATAGATGAAGGGTGCTTCTGCTAGGCTGAATGAAGTCAGAGACTCTTTTATTCTCAGTGGTCAGTGATGCCCTGTTCTTTTTCCTCCTATACTTTCCCCTTCACCAAAATGTTAATGAAATCAGCAG